ATGGGACCTTTAAGACTGGTTTTGTGGTCCAGGGTCACATATATTGTACTGTATCCTTGTTAAATAAAATGATTAATAAAACCAAAAAAAGCAAGGCAAGAAAATCTATAAAATAACTCCTCTGCCACTTGCAAGAATAGCACTGATACTTTTATCTTATTCAGCCACTTTATCTCTCGGCAGAGGGCCAGTACTTCAGCGAGGAGCAGATTCGTGTGCGAGATCCGCTGCTAAAAGGAGATCCTGCAGAGCTCAGAGGAGGCCATGAGGAGTGGCCCGGGGGGACTCGCTGACCTGCTTATCAACTCCTACCAGGAGAGACTGATCCAGAGCTGCCTGGAGGAGGAGCAGGAGCGAGAGCAGTGTGCAGCGGAGGAGTCTGAGGAGGAAGGTGCGAGATCCCACTGACTGACTCATGACAGATTCCATTTAATTTCTTTATGGATGAATGTGTTTGTGTGTTTTAGAAAGTGATGAGCCCAGACAGGTAGAGTGGGAGCCGAATGCAGAAGAGAAAGCCATGCTGAGAGAAGAGTTCCTCAGTCAAATGCATCAGCGCTTCCTGGATGGCAAAGATGACTTCAACTACAGGTCCAATCATAGTGCTTGCTCATATACTGTAGGTCTCAACGTTTGAATCTAAAATATGAATGTTGCATTACCAGCATGTATTTCTCTTCAAATCAGTTGTTGCTATTTATTGAACTATACTGTAGAGAGCTAATTGCCCATATTTTATTTCTTACATAACCTTGTATCTTAATCTTAAAGGGGTCATATGATGCGATTTCAATTTTTTTCTTTCTCTTTGGAGTGTTACAAGCTCTTGGTGCACAAAGAAGATCTGTAAAGTTGCAAAGACTAAAGTCTCAAATCCAAAGAGATATTCTTTATAAAAGTTAAGAGTCAGCCACGCCTACCTAAAACGGCTTGTTCTAACACGCCCCACACATATCTACGTCAAGATGTGGAAAGATTTGCATAACGCCGCCCAAATGTTCACGCAAAGAAAGAAGGTGTAACTTTTATTCTCGCTGTAGTATTGTTGCCGCCACCATGTCGTGAAGGCACTGTGTGCTTCATTGTGAAAGCGAAACTACTTTGTTTGGTCTTCCAAAAGAGGACACGACTAGAAATCAGTGGTTAAGTTGTATTTACAACACTGTTCCAGAACACTTCAACCCAAATATTCAGATGTGTGCTGCACATTTTATGGAGGACTGTTTACTGACCCTGGTAGAGTAGACTACAATGCCGGCTGTTCTGACTCACAGACTGTAAGTACGTTTTTATATATAAAGAATTTGCCACTGACGATTCAAACGCGAGTTTTGAGCAGTGTAGAGTAGGGCTTGTTGTTTGTAATTTCTCCGATCACAAATGCAGATGTCAGACAGTATAAGTCATTATAATCAGTAATTATGTCCCCATTGGATGCAACAAATGCCTCGTTTGTAATGGGTTTTCATGTTTTTGTCTCGTCGCTCCGGCCGGGACACGCCATCACAGTATGGTAGGGGCGCAACATGCTTAAAGAATTCAGCCTATCACAACACACTGAATAGCTGGCCAGTCAGAGCACACCTCGCTTTTCAGACCGATGAGCTTTGTAAAAATCAACGCATTTCAGAAAGGCGGGGCATAGAGGAGAAACAATAATGTACATTGTGGAAAATAGTGTTTTTTGAACCTTAAACCACATAAACACATTTCATTATACCAAATACTGTTCTTTTTAGCAGCATCATGTGACCCCTTTAATATATCTTAATTGCAGTAACAATAACTGATATTTTCATTGCAGTGAAGTGGATGAGAATTCAGATTGATAACCTGGATATTGTAAGCCATGATGCAGAGGAGCGCTACTTTGATGAAGATGATGAAGAGGATATGATGCAATAGCTCTTAATGTATAGAATGTTCTCTCAGAATTTAGATTTTTGTACATTCTTAATCATATTTCTACTACTTGATATTTGTTTGTGTAGGTTAAATGTGATTATCAGCACTTTGTTGTCTTCAATAAAAGAGTACTAGTTTTCAAGATGATGTTGTGGTCATGTTTAAAGAATTCTCCTTTGAAAAAACAAAACAAAAAAAACGATCGAGTCTTTCAGGTCTGACCTTAGAAGACTTGTTTTCATTTTAAAAGGCTTTTGCCGTTTAGCATATTTTAAGTTCACAGAATCAGTTTTTCATAATGGTTAATAAAACAAATGGGCATGACAGCAGTGTTCCAGACTCACTTTTTTACGTTCATCTGTATAACTATGCATGCAGTCTTTAGTAATCCTAATTATCAATCCCATATTAACTGAAAGACTGCATGGACTATTTGCACCATTAATAATACTGAATGATATACTACAGCAAGTATGATATCAAGACTATTTGCATTTTCTTTCCACCAAATTCAAGTCAGCAACTGAACTTAGTATAATCATTTCATAGACATTGCTAAAAAAAATTTAGAATCCGTTCTAGTTAAATCTCATAAGTTGAAATTGGTTTACTTTGATGCATTAAATTAATGGAAAAATTTAGGTTGTCAACCATCTATCAGTATATATGGTTGTGGTTTTATTTTGTTTTTTATAACCATGTCTTACAAGATATATTGAAGTATATTCACAGGCTGTAAATACCAGGAAATGTGGCATTTAAATAATTTGAGCACAGACCACACTGAAAATTCAAAATGTGGAGTAAATACTTTATTAACATTCAAGATTTCATTAGCATTGCTATATCTCAAATTAAAATTCTACACAAGAAAAATACAAATTAAATACCTGTTCATAGGATAGGATGGAAAGTAAAGGTTATGTAAGGCAAATATACAAACAAAAATTAAACTACAATTAGTGAGGTCCCTTTGACATATAACCAATAAAACAAAGAACAGAAAATGCAGGGAGAAAATGTGACAATGCGTCAATACCAAGCAAAGTATTTATGTGCAGTTTTCTTTGTAATTACAACGTAAATAGAGCCTTTCACTTTAAAAGTCCTACTTTACTCCTAAAAGCATATTGACTAACATCTGCATTATTATAGGTGTTGGGGGGGGGGGGGGGGGGGGGGGGGGGGGGGCAAACACTTCATACAGAAAGAATATACCTTCATAAATGAGCAGGGCACTTCATATTTTTTTTTCCCATAATTAAGCTTGAGTAGTTATTTTCTGTTGTGCAGTTGGTCGCCCCAAAATACCCTTCGAGATTTGTAGGAAATGTAGGAATTTAGAGGAGAGGTGACATGACAAAACAGGAATGTTAAAAGACAAACGAAGAAGAAAAACTTCACGGGTTCAGTGCAAGTAGCCCCCTACCTGCATACAGACATTGTGCAACATCTCGGCTGTTTTATTGCCTGATCCCTTTAAAAGTCACCCCTCAAATGTACCATTTTATGGCCCCTCAAAGGAACCAACGGTTGTCAGAGAAAGAAAAA